ATCCATTTAGTTTTGGAAAGCTCTGCCACCTGTGTCATCTCTTCTGCTTATCAGAGACAGCAGTGACAGAAAAAGCACAATATCTCTAATTTAAGTGTTCTGGCTGTGGGCAGTGATTTACCCAGCCTGAGTAATGGCAGGGACCAGGGAATTATCTTCATTTTCTTGGGCCTGGATCTCCTCTGAAACAGCATCTCAGAGCTGTGCCTTGAGTTCAGAATTGTATACAGCAGCTGAAACATCTTGAATTTTATACATTTATACATCCATGCATTACATCCATTTCTACATCCATTCTGTGAACCCAGAATTAAAACAAAGAAAGCAGGATCAGTAATTTTTCCTCATGCTAGAACTTTCTGGTTTTGAGGATGTTTTTTTAAAGGCTGACATGAAACTTTTAAAACTTGCAGATTCTGGAGCCACATTGATTTCTGCACCATGCAGGATAAATAAGTTTCAATAATTCAAGTTTGGTCAAAGGTCTTCTTCCATCCTGAATGAAACTGTAGTCCATCACTAATTTTTTTTCAATTTTAGCCTTTTATAGACACATTATAGATTTTTTTTTTAATTGCTTCTACAGGCATAGGAGTTGTAAGTGATCCCCTGTGGTTTTGATGGCCTGTAAATTACTTTGTGCTTTTCTTCTCTCTGCTCTCAGGGATATACAGGCATTACAAACAATAGTGAGAGGTGCTGGCAGGCAGATTGGATGACAATTAGGTGAAACCACTGATGGGAAATTCATAACAAGATGATAAATAATATTTTAGGGTAACTGGGAACTAACATTTGTATGAAATCTCTTTCTGGAAGACTCCTCCTGTTGTGTTTAGGGCACTGAAGCACTGGGGGTTTGATTAGGCCTTTGTGTGAACAAGGGTAAAATGTTTTTCTTGGTGCTCAAATTGCAAAATGGGAATTACAACCTCACCTTTGCCTTCCTTGCTTGCTTCAATCAGAAACTCCTGGGGATAGGGACAGCCTGTGGGGCCAGACAGTACGTAATCTAATGGGCTAATTGCAAAATAAAATAATAATAATAATGGCTGTGTGCTGGCAAGAGCCAGCAGGGCAGAGCAGCAGCTGGTGCTGAGGGTTCAGAGGGATGACACACTGTGCTCAGGTAGAACCTTCCAGAAGTGCTTTCACCTTCACCCTGTGATTCACAGGAGCCCTGAACTGCAGCTGGTGCTGGGAAGAAGGAAAACAGACAGACCTGTGCCAAAAAACTCTTCAGAGGGGGGAACCTCAAAGTGTCAGTGTGAGCTGGGGGACGCTGCAGATCCATTAACTGCAGGATTGTCTCAGCTCAGAGAGGAAGGACACGTCCTTTGATGGGCCCTTCACCCCAGTCCCCCACAAACCACCCGTGGGATGGACAAATAAAGGGTTTTTGGGAACCCCATGGCAGTTTGGCACTTGCTGACATCCCCTCTTGGCTCCCCTGCCTCAGCCCAACTTCTGCCCCCACTGAGCCATCAGCAACACCTGGAAATCACATTTAAACCTTCACCTTTGATTATTTTAGCACACACAGGGTAAAGCTGGAAGCCAGGCAATGTGAGCTCTGCCCATACCACCCTGGAAATGCAGATTCCAGCTCAGCCCCGTGCCTGTGGCCCTGCCTGAGGTGCCCCTCTCTGTCCCCTCTGTCCCCAGCTGCAGCCCAGAGCCAGGAGGCAGCGATGGTATTTTGTGACATGCCTGACAGACTTGTCTGACAACTTGGAGGTTTGTTTTGCATAAGCCACCCAAACAGATGGTCACCACTTTTAAGTACCAGCCTGGCTCGTGTTTGTGTGCACAGAGCTGAAATCCCATTTCACTGAATTCCCATTTCACTGAATTCCCATTTCAGTGAATTCCCATTTCACTGAATTCCCATTTCACTGAATTCCCATTTCACTGAATTCCCTTTTCACTGAATTCCCATTTCACTGAATTCCCTGCTGGAGCTGTGGCTTTGGGGCAGCAAACAGAGGTGGGAGAGTTTTGGGGGAAAACTCACAAGTGCTTTAAGGCTACTTCTCCTTACCATCTCAGGAGGAGATGATGATTTTTTGTTTTTTACTCTCCTTACCATCTCTGGAGGGGGATGATGATTTTATGTCACTGGCATCTTGGTGTTCTCCTTCCCACTACCAGAGAAATACTGAGAGTTAAAAAGCACTCTCTGGACCTTTAGGAAATGTCATTTTCCCATGCACTCCTCCCTCTCAAACTCCCAAACCTGTGCTCCATCCACATCCTACCCTTGGTGGCACCTCTTGGATTTTATTTGGTTTATTTCCATGTTGATTTTTGTCTGAATTTTAATGATGAATTATTTGTAGCACTTCCAGCAGGGTGGAACAGGAGCACTCACTGCTCCTTCAGATGGGATGAGTGGAGCCTGTCCCAGCAGAGAGCTGAGCTCTCACACAGGGTTATCCTGAACTCAAGGCAGCTTTACCCACCTGCCTGGCTGCTTCTCCAATAGATACTTTTTCCATTTATGGGTATTTTGCCCATTTTTCTGGTTTGCTCCCTGTGTTTAACCTTCTCTGCTCTGCTGAATTGTCACACAGGGTTATCCTGAACTCAAGACAGCTTTACCCACCTGCCTGGCTGCTTCTCCAATAAGTACTTTTTGAATTTATGGATATTTTGCCCATTTTTCTGGCTTGCCCCCTGTGTTTAACCATCTCTGCCCTGCGTGATGAAGCTCTGAGTGCATTTTACCAAATGCCAGCTCTTTTGGGCAGGAATGTGACCCATAGACACAGTTCCTGAGCCAGGTAAGAGCAGGGCTGCCTGGCAGCCTTGATGGCACTGTTGTGCAGGTAAGAACCACTTTCATTCATAGGATCAAGCTGATTTTTTTTTTAAATTCCAGCTCCTCTGAAAGATACACATTTTTTTTTCCAACCATCTTTTCTTCCAGCCGAGCTCAGCATGAAGTCACTGCTCTGCCCTGCTCTTCATTTGCATTCACTGTGTCTAAAAGCTGCGAGCTGATCTCAGTAGATAACTGACAGCCAGAAGGAGTGCAACGCAGCACCGTGGAAAACAAAAATAAGATTTCCTGCATGTGCTGGTGGATCCGTGCAATCCCACGAATCCACAAGGAACATATGCCCTTAAACTGCATGTGCCTGTCTATATTTATATATAAAAAACCCCAGAACTGTGACAAGACAGGCTGCAAAACCCCGGAGTTCTGACGGGTTTCAACAACAAACGGAAAACTTAGGGAGATCAAGGAACCATCCCGATCCCCCCGGTTTCATCTGGATCCCAAAGCGAGCAGTCCCACCTCAGGAGCCACTGTTCCCTCATTAAGTCATCATTAGTTTGCAGCCTGATTAATTTAAAGCATAAGCACACGCAGGGAGGTCACACCAGGGCGTGAATTGGGCAACAAAAACCGAACCACTTCGGGCTGCGGATGGAAATCTGCTTCTGCTGCTTTTAGGGTGACTTGTACACGGATTAAACAAAATCCCCCGGGTGTCCGAGCTAAAGCAATTTCACTTTGGGTGGCAAAAACTGCCTCCCTGGCCATCCCGAACTTCGGGACAGGCGGGATGTGGGACGCGGAGTGCCCGGGGCTCCTGCCTGGCCGGGGGAGGCGAGCGGAGCATCCCGAGAGTCCTACAGCATCCCCTGCTTCAGGAGAGCATTCCCTGCCCCGGGAGAGCATCCCTTGCTCCGGGAGAGCATTCCCTGCTCTGAGAGAGCATCCCCTGCCTCGGGAGAGCATCCCCTGCCCCGGGAGAGCATTCCCTGCTCCAGGAGAGCATCCCTTGCTCCGGGAGAGCATCCCTTGCTCCGGGAGAGCATTCCCTGTTCTGAGAGAGCATTCCCTGCTCCGGGAGAGCCTTCCCTGTCCCGGGAGAGCATCCCCTGCCCCGGGAAAGCATCCCCTGCTCTGAGAGAGCATTCCCTGCTCTGAGAGAGCATTCCCTGCTCTGAGAGAGCATCCCCTGCCCCGGGAGAGCATCCCCTGCCCCGGGAGAGCATCCTCTACCACGGGAGAGCATCCCTCGCTGCCAAGAGAGCATTCCCGGCTGTCCGGGCGGTTCCGAGAGCTCGTCCCCAGGCCGTATCCCCCGCAGCCCGGGACAGCATCGCGCCGCTTCCCCGGCCGGCCCGGCAGCGCATCCCCCCGGCTCTGGGAGCGCATCCCCCGCTTCCCTGGCTGCTCCGAGCAGGCATCTCCGGGCCGCTCCGGGAGCGCATCCCCTGCTTTTTTTTTTAAATTCCAGCGCTGTCCGGCAGAGCATCCCCCCCGCTCCGGGAGCGCATTTCCCTCTCGGCAGAGCATCTCCTTGCTCCGGCACAGCATCCCCCGCTGTCCGGGCCGCTCCGGCACAGCATCCCCCTGCTCCGGGAGCGCATCCCCTGCAGCCGGGGAAGCATCCCCGCGCTGTCCGGCAGAGCATCCCCCCCGCTCCGGGAGCGCATTTCCCTCTCGGCAGAGCATCTCCTTGCTCCGGCACAGCATCCTCCGCTGTCCGGGCCGCTCCGGCACGGCATCCCCCTGCTCCGGGAGTGCATCCCCCCTCTCCGGGAGTGCATCCCCCTGCTCCGGGAGCGCATCCCCCCTCTCTAGCACAGCATGCCCCTGCTCCAGGAGCGCATCCCCCCTCTTCAGGAGCGCATCCCCCCTCTCCGGGAGCGCATCCCCCTGCTCCGGGAGGGCATCCCCCCTCTTCAGGAGCGCATCCCCCCTCTCCGGGAGCGCATCCCCCTGCTCCGGGAGGGCATCCCCCCTCTTCAGGAGCGCATCCCCCCTCTCCGGGAGTGCATCCCCCCTCTTCAGGAGCGCATCCCCCCTCTCCGGCAGAGCATCCCCGCCTCTTCCCGGGCTGGCTCCCCGGCTCCCCGGCGCTCCCTCCCCGCGTCCGGCCCCGCGCCGCTCCGGAGCAGCGGAGCCGAGCGGCGCCCGCCTCTCCCCGCTCCGCCAAGCGCCAGAAAAGAGCAGAAAAGCCCCGCGGGGGGCAGCGACTCACGCCCGAGCTTTGGGGAAGCCCATGGAGAGCAGGATCTCCAGCGACGAGCCATGTCTGACGGTGCCGGCGCGGTGCTGGCGGCTCCGGCGCGGGATGACTTTGCTGTAGAGCTCCTCCCGGGCGGCCATGGCGAGCTGGGCCATCAGCGCGCTGCCATCGCCGCCCGCGCACGGCCATGCACGCCGCGGGCTCGGGGACAGCGCCGGGGACAGCCACACGCAGGGGAGCCGCGGCGACACCGCCCACGGGCAGCGCACGGAGGGAGGGAGGGGAAGGGAGGGGAGGGATGCGGGGAGAGCGGCCGGGGTGCCCCCGCCCCGCCGAGGGTGGGTGGGGGATGCGCGGGAGCGGGCGGGAGGAATGAAGGTTTCCTTTAAAAAAAAAATAATTAAAAAAAATTATAAAAAAAATAAAAAGAAAGCACGTGCACGCGCGGTTGTTTTGGGTTTTTGCTGCTTATTTTGGTTTTTTGCCGCTTTTTTTGTTGGTTTTTTTTTTTTGTTTGACCTTTAAAATGGTTATGTTTATTTATTTATATGTTTATTTATTTATTTATTTATTTGTCTGTATCAGAAATATATTATTTACTAAATTATTTGTTCGTTTATTTTTGTGTATTTTATTTGTTTATTGTTTATTTGTTTATCATTTGTTAATTAATTTATATATATAAATTCTTTCTCTCCTTCCTTCCTTCCTTCCTTCCTTCCTCCCTTCCTTTCCTTCCTTTCCTTCCTTTCATTTTTTTAGGAACTCCTCTCTGTGATCCCAACCAAAGAGAAGGGGTCAGGCCTCCCCGGGTCTCCCTCTGCCACTTCCACTCTCATGGGTTGGGTTGGGTAGGGTTGGAAGAACCCAAACTGAAATCTCATCCCATCCCACCCCTGCCATGGCAGGGACACCTCCCACTGTCCCAGGCTGCTCCAGCCCTGTCCAGCCTGGCCTTGGGCACTGCCAGGGACCCAGGGGCAGCCACAGCTGCTCTGGGAATTCCATCCCAGTCCCTCCCCACCCTGCCAGGGAACAATTCCCAATTCCCAGTATCCCATCCAGGCCTGCCCTCTGGCAGTGGGAGCCATTCCCTGTGTCCTGTCCCCCCATCCTTGTCCCCAGTCCCTCTGCAGCTCTCCTGGAGCCCCTTCAGGCCCTGCAGGGGCTCTGAGCTCTCCCTGGATCCTTCCCTTCTCCAGGGGAACTTTCCCAGCTCTCCCAGCCTGGCTCCAGCCCCGCAGCAGCTCCGTGGGTTCCTCTGGGCTCTCTCCAGCAGCTCCACTCAAAGTTCTTTGTGGTTCACCTGGACGTGGCTCGAGGCAGAAGAAAGAGCTGTGCTCCAAAATGTTTGCCTCCTCCTTGTGTTCCCAGCAGCTCTGCTCCCCTCCCTGCAGTTCCCGTGGGCTGGGTGGGACAGATATTCCTGCTTTTCTCCTCATTCTCTTTCAATTCATCCTCCTCATCCTTCTCCTTTGCCTTTTTTTTTTCTTTTTTTCCCTGACTTTCCCTTTTTTCCACTTTTCCTTTCACTTTTAAGGCCAGGCAGATCCTGCTCCTGCAGGCCCAGCGGAGAGCAGCATGAAACCCCAGCCCTGCCAGCAAATAAAAACCCCTGAAGAGGCATTTTTAAAAATAGTTTATGTTGGGGAAGGAAATCAATACTGGCAATGACAAATCTATCACTGCAGTTGTTATTATTCGCATTAGGGAAAACCAACAGCCCATTTCCATTTTGTTGTATCAATGAAGGGGAGAAAAAGAATTCCCCTCACAGCTCCCTGCTCGTTGTCCTCCTGTGCCAGGTGATTTTATCCCCAGGGAAAAGCCATCCCTAACTGAGGAGGTCACAGGAATTCCAGCTCCAGAAAGACACAGCACAAAAATCCAACACCAAACTAAAGAAGTGCTTCTTGTTCCATGCTTAAAATCACTTTTAACTCCTCAGATGTTGCTGAGGTTCTTTAATTTGCCCCCACAATTAATTGGCAAGGCCTTCATTAAAGCCAGAGGGTGAAAGCAATTCAGTTGTGGATTTCAGCTGTGAAATCAGGATCAGGCACCCAATCCACTCCATTTTAATTCAGGGGGAGAATTAAGGGCATTAATAACAATATTTTCTATGCCATTTTAGTACAGGAGGAGTATTAAGCATTTGAATAATAATATTTGTGCTCAAATTTGGATTGCTGGAGCCGCCAGAAGGGTTTGGCACCCTGAACTCATTCCAGGCACGCTGGGAGCATAAAAGATAGATAAAAATCCCAAATTAATCCTGATCCCACCTTCCCATCTCCCAGGGGAGTGCAGGATCTGCAGCCAGCAGAAAATGTTTGGACTTCTCTCCCTGGGCCTCCCTCCTGTGCTCCAGCTGAATTACTCAACCAGGAAATAACAATAAAAATGAAATTTGCTATGGAAGCAGCTTGCAGGGACTTTGCCCAGATGGGAATCTCTTTCCTCTGCCTGTGGCAGATTCACACAATCAATTCCAACAGAAATAAATCCACATTGGGGAAATTGCAACGGTGAAGCTGGTTTGCTTGGATGAGCTGCTGCATCAAACAAGAAGGAACAAAAATAAGATTTTTTTTAGGTGAGACTGGCTGGAAATTATTTTCTAAGCCTGCCAAGATCATGTCCTTGGAACTTTAATGTCCCTGCATTTGATCTGGCTGGGCTTTTTTACATGGAAACTTTTTTTTTTTTTTTTGGGAAAAAAAAAGGTTTCTTTTTCTACCCCCAGCTATCAAACGTGTGCCTGGAAATAAAGCTGCCACCCACCTTTTTTTTTTTTCTTTCTTTTTTTGCTTGTGAGCTGAAAATGAAAGCTGTCACAGTGATCAAATAGGGAAAGGGAAGAAAGTAAAAGTAGAAAGCCAAATTTTTTAAAAGGAGGAAAATGTGCTGCAGCCTCCAAAATTAACAATAATTTAACAAAATAATCAAAATACACAAAATGATTTGGCTTGTATGAAAGCTGTGATATTCAGTTTATTTAAAATGCTGTCAGATTTTCACAGAGAACATTTCTGCTTTGGTTTTTCATTTTTTTCCCCCACATGGCCTTGTGTTGCTGGCCTGATCCCAGATATTTCTATTTGTGTTCATTTATTGCTGCTCACCCTTTTCCTGTTTAGAACAACAACTTTTGGGTGCCCAAAGCCAGAAAAGGGCTGAAAATTCCTGCCCCAAGAGCCTTGGCTGTGTCCTCTGGGAAATCCTAAATTTTCCTGAGTGAACTCCAATCCTTATCCCTTTACCTACAGGAAAATGCATTTTAGGGAATTATTTTTATCACTTCCTGAGGTGAGGGCAGAATTGAGGGGGGAGAGTTTTAAAAAGCTGGGCAGGGAGGGGGATTTCCATAGGAAGAGCTCAGGTTTCTGAGGAATTTGAGGCAAATTTAGCTTTTTTTTTTCCAGCCTGATGCTCCCTCCTGGCGCTGCCATGGGAATGCTTTGCTCCCTGACAATGGGAATATTCTGAAATAAACAGCTCAGCAGCAGGAAATGGAGCAGGGGCTTTGCTTTTCCCCTCATCCCAAATCCATCCTCAGCAAGTCCATCCTCTTTTTTGATTTCCCTGCCTGCTCAAGAGGTGGCAACCAGCTAAAGGATCAAAAAGAAATGGAAATTAAAAATAAAACTCAGCCCACCTTCAGCAGTTCCCCTCCCCTTTCACCTCCTTTTATTTATTTATTTTTTTCCCCACTCTCCTGAGTTTCCAAGTGTCAAGTAACGTTGATTTATGGCTGAGGAAAATCAACAGCTGCCTCGCACTTGATTCAAAACAGCACCAAAACAGAGGGGAAATGATGATTTCATTATTAGCTAGGAGTGTTTTTTGCGAAGCTGAGAGCAGAAAAAACCTGCAAACTCCAGCTCATTTTCCGTGCTGTGGGTGCTGAGCCTCGGTGGAAGTGGAAGAACAGCATTCCAGAGAGCAGCCTTGAGGAATAAATCCCCTTTGTCCAGCTCTGGTACCTGTTGGGGCTGGATGTGGGGCTGGAATCAGCAGTTCTTGCCAGCCCATCCCACAGGGATCATTCCCTTCCTTCCCTTGGATCTGTCAAGCTGCTCCCTCCTCTCAGCCCTGCAATGTTTGGGTCCCCCAGAGTGGCTAAAAACAGAAGGAGCAGCTGGTTGATGGAGCAGGATCCTGTGCTCTGGCCAGAAGGATGAAAAAGGAGTTTTTTCCCCTCATTTCTCCCTCACCTCAAACCTCTGCCATGAGTTTTAGGCTCTGGGAGAGTTATTAGAGCTTCAGGACTGGGGGTTTTTTATCCATCTCCGGCTTTTATTGCCTTTGGGGCTGGGGCTCCAAAACTCGGCTGCAGATGTGGAATTGTGGGGTGAAAAAAGCACCACGAGCTCCATTAGAAGGGCACTGAGAATTTGCTTTTCTAGCTCAGGTTTCCTTCAGTTTTGAAGTGTGTTTTCCTCATTAAAATAAAGGAAAAAAAATCCATTTTAATTTCATCATAATCCCTTCACTTGGGCTTGGAGTTATGGAGCTGGGCAGGAATAAGTCAAGAGGCAAAATGTCCTTCAGATATTTCAGGGCAGGACATGGCAGGTGTAGCCTGAAAATAAAAGAGAAATAAAGGAATATATTCATTTTAAAAGGCTTTCAGCTATTTTTGGCTCTGCTGGGAGAGGAAGGATTTTGTTGCTGGGCACTGATTCAGTCCAGGGCTGGGTTCTGAGCGTGGCCAGGGCAGGATTTGCTTTTATTGATCATCAAAAACCAAGCAAGCTGTGGAGAGTGGCTGAGGCTTTGCAAAGTGAGGCTTTACCCTCTCCTAACCAGGCAGGGCTGCGTTCTTTCACCTACCTGAATAAGAGTTGCATTCAGCAAATCTTTATTTGAATTTCTCCTGCCTTGGCCCAGCAGCTGGGGGAGCTCTGGGCAGTGAGCTGGGTCAAACCTTCCAGGTGGGATTCAGCTAAAACCACAGGCAAATTAAAATATTGGTGCAAAATCTGCTTTTATTGGTGTAAAACCCCCTTTTATTGGTGTAAAAACCGCTTTCATTGGTATAAAAACCACTTTTATTGGTATAAAATCCACTTTTTCTGAGTGCGGAAGAAGCTGTTTCCTCTGCTAGCAGGAGAAGAGCTGAGCAAATGAATTATTTAAAAAGTCACAATTTGTAGCCCATGTGCAAGAAAGACCCTGATCCTTGGCTGTGCTATCTCCTGCATCCCCTGGCTGTCCCTGGTGTGAACCCAGTTTATTTCCATCATTTATTTGCTGGGGACTGAGCCAAGAAATAACGTGGTACAATAGAAAGC